GAGGAACATGATGATGCAAATGCTGATGCCGATGATGAACACGATGATGATGATGATGATGATGATGATGAACATGATGATGATGAATATGATGACGATGATGATGATGATGCTGATGAACATCATCACTTTCATCATCATGTCCATCATGATCATTTGATAATCATCATGACGCATCCTCAGCATCACCAGCAGTCATCATGATAATCATGTCCACGCATCTTCTGCATCTCCAATCGGGTCTAACGGGACACTTGAAACGTATATAAAAAAGACAAGGACGATGACGAAGAAGATGATGATGATGAGCACCGTGATGATGATGCTGATGATGATGATGAATTGACATGATAATCATCATGACGCATCCTCAGCATCACCAGCAGTCATCATGATAATCATGTCCGCGCATCTTCTGCATCTCGAATCGGGTCTAACGGGACACTTGAAACGTATATAAAAAAAGATAAGGACGATGACGAAGAAGCTGATGATGATGAGCACCGTGATGATGATGATGATGATGAACTGACATGATAATCATCATGACGCATCCTCAGCATCACCAGCAGTCATCATGATAATCAAGATAAGGACAGCGGCGACGACCACCACACCGATGATGATGATGATGATGATGATGATGATGAATCTTCGGGTATGCTCATTACAAGCTAACCTTGGACTTGTAACTGCCCTTCCCGTACGCCTCCCCCTTTGAGGAGAAGGGGTCGGCGGATATCCCGTTCTTTGCCGTGGGTGGTTTGGGGGTGGACCATCCTATCCTGTGCATAGGTGTCCTTTTTGGTTGTTGTGGTCGAAAAATCGATGGGTTTCCGTGGTTTACCTGGCGGTTTCATCTTCTACCAGGGAAACCCATCTTGCGAGGTTTTTGGTCTTCACAGAGGCGAAGAAGAAGTGGAAGTTGCCGGAGGCCGCAGAGGACTTCTTCGAGATGGAGAAGCGCTACAAGCGCGACAACACCCGGTGCTTCCAGCTGCTGCGCAAGGACCAGGGATCCGGGTTCGATTCCTCGAAACCTGGTCGAATAAAAAACTGGACCAACAAAAAAGAAGGCATAAGCCTCGAATTCCCACCCCGAACACGTCCCTTAAGTTCCCGGAAGCGTCATATTCCCAAGCAGATTTAAGAAACGTCCAAGGAACCCCAGGCATGAGACCAGATGATATTTTTCAACAGCATGCGTTTGCCTGCCAGGTGCTTCCCAGGAAGCCTCGGAACCCTACCCCGGAGCCCTGAAGCCTATTTGGGCCCATCTAGCTTTCAGCTGTTGGGGAAAACTTGTTGCTAGAAAGTCCAAACACGGATCCCGTGGGTTTGTCTGAAAGTGTAAAGATTAAAACAAGAAGAGGGTGGGTTCGTTTTGGTTTTCCTTTCAAAACCAGCCCAAAGAGCACTCTCAAACAAAGCGAGCCCACCCAATGGGAGCAGAACTGAAAAGAGCAAATCCCCTTGTTCGTTGGTTTGCGTGTTAGGTGAAAACCTTTTATTTTCTCCGACAAGGGGTGCTACTACTGCTACCCGAGGCCCCACATGTCCTTTTTCAGGTTGTTTTAACGTCACCTTTTGGTCCCAGTTTAGATGACTTTCCTCTCGGGCAATGAGTTCTTTGAACATATGAAGCTCAAGTTGGGTTTGTGAACACTTATTTTGAGTTATTTGTGTCTTGGCCTCTAAAAGTTTGGCACATGTTGCGCAAGGACCGAAAAGCCACTTGCACCAACTCCAACAAAGGGAACGTGCAGAACCATTTTGGAACATTTATGGCCTCCCAGCCATGTTTAGTCATCCGGGGTTGTCTCTTTTTCTGGAACCCCCTCCATGTTTGGCGACCCCTTACATTGAAACAGACCCATGTGTTGTTCTTGGCTACATACTCATGATCAAGGATCAACCCACTCCGAAGTACCTTTTATGATGTCGTTGTTTGAGTCAAAGCCCAAACAGGTGTCACCTGTTGTATTCCGCATCTGTCAACTGGTCAGGTTATATACCCTTGGCTTGTGCCTTTTGACATGGGGAAGGTATTACCCCCCTCGTGCAAACCAGATATCAAACAAATATCCAGACCACCAATATGGGGTGCAACCACACCAGCGTGCTGAAAATAGGGTGCTACCGCTACCAGGGTAATATCCAGAAACACCTGTAACAACGGTGGTGTTGTTACGCCATTGTTTTAATGGTGGCCACCGGGTTTCAAATGATGTGCACCAGAAACTTCAGGGATCGGTCTGAGTGGCGACCAGAAACACCTAGTTGTGTGTCAAAATAGGAGGCCCTTAAACGGTTGCTTTCCCTTCCCTTGAAGCCAACCTTCAAACGGGCACCCACAAAAGGCGAACCCACTCGTGGTTGATCTTCTTTGAATTCCCATGTCGGTTGGTGAAAAAATGTCCGGATCCCATTTATCCAAGTCGTAGGTAACCCTCATGTTGCTCTTGTTTGATTCCATTGGTGACCTATCTCGGAAAATCGAATCACTGGGAGGGCACCGGAGGGTCCCCAGTTGGAATTACCCAGCCAATAACATGGTAATCTCTATTTACTAGATGGGTGTATGTTCTTGGAGGACCCCCGAAAAAGTTTGGTTGGCGTCCTTTGGCCTTGCCTTTAAACCACCAAAAGAAGGGTACCAAGTCCAAGAAAAGACCTACCTGCATCTGGCCCGCATCTTCTCGCAGGCGCGGAAGCGCCCGAAGCCGGAGCCGGAGCCGTTGCCAGAGAAGCCAAGACAGAAGAAGGTGAAGCAGCAGGGGATCACCGTGGACGAGCTGCAGGATATTCTGGGTGAGGACCATGGGTTTGCCTTATGACTTTGACTCAGGTACCCAAGAGTTGGTTTCTAGGGTTTGTTTTTCTTTTCGTCAACCCAAAAGCACATGGTCGTAGGGATCGTTTGTGGATTTGCTTGTAAGTGAATATCCGGATAGCTGGGGGTTATTCTGTTGGATGTGAAGCAGAATCTAACCTGACATGCTGCTTTCGGTCCCAAAGTCTATGGGCCCCTCGTAGAACCCTATTTCGTTGGTGGCAAAAAAGAGCTCTTGCGGTCCAAAAGTCACCCTTCTGGCCAGCCACTTTAGCCGACACCCATTGACACACACAAACTCCCTGGATGAGGAGGGCGTCTATCCCGGAGATTTCGCCGTTCCTTGCTTTTTCTAGTCAGGAGCCCGAACCCCCCTTTTCTAGATCTGTGTATTTTTAATGAGGCGGTTGGCTCGCAGGAACCTTGAACCAAATGAGAAGGTTCGAGTCTCTAGGTGAGGTGCAAGGATGTGGAAGTAGCGATGTGAGTGGTGTCCTTCTGACATTTTCCGCGGGCCCAAGAATCTCCGGAGGAAGATGAGAACGAGGAGGACAAGAAATGAGTCCCGGACGGTTCCAGGCCTATGGCTAGGATCCCTATACGAGAAATTGCAACCTCAAAAATGGGGGGGGCTCCACAGGAGAATCGGCTACAACTGGAGCTTGTAGTGTTTTCCTGTTTGTGTTTCTTGTTTTGTATATGTGTTCATTTGTTTATTTTATTTTTTCGATCCTACGCCAATAATCAGGTACACCTTCATTGGTTTGGATGGGTGGTTTGGGGTTTCAACAAACACTGGGTTTAGAGAGTAGATGGCAAACCACTCAACCTCCACACCTCCGTACAATCCAAACCACCAATGAGAGGGAAGCTGGAAGGTCCTGGCCGCACCTCTTCAAGATTTTATGTCAAGAATGCACTTGGAAAGCTGGCCTTTGAACGCTGACGCTTGCTCGCTCAACGGAAGCGCTTGTGGAAAAGAGGCGAGCAGGTTGAAAGACACATCCCTGCTCCAAACCCCCTGGTTTCGGGGTCTTGAACCAAAGCCTGGCCTTTCATGGCATTCTTCCTTTGTCAGAAAAATTAGCCTCGCCAGAAAGTTTGTGGGTACTTGGAGGGAGCAGTTGCTCAGAAGCCTTCGTCAACCTCTTCGGCCCATCAACCTCCGGGCCTAGGCCCCGAATTTTGGTTCCCTTAAATTCAAACATCGCCTGCGGCACGTTTTTGAGCGGTCGGCTCCAATCCCCAACCTGTTCCACGCCCTCTCCGACATGTTTTTTTTTTGGCCCCCTCCTTTTTTAAATATATATATATATATTATATATATATATGCTTTGGTTTTTAATGTTTCGGGGTCCTACTCCGAGTACCCCTTTCCTTTTCGGTATGTGAACCGCTGTTTAAATCAATTTCCTTGACCTCTTTGTGCAGAATGCCAAGGACTCAAATGTTTCTTTTTTCTCTGACAGTTCTGATCTTTTTTTTGGGGAAGGCTCCGAGCCCAGGGCGCCATTTCTGCGAAAAAAGGTGTGGTTCCTTGGTTTCTCCCGAAGTTTGGGCCTTTTGGGCGGCGGTCACACCTGGCATCTCCGGAGAAGAAGAACGCACAGAGCCGGGCTCAAGGCTCCTGACTGCACCGGTGTAGAGCCGTCACACCATGGGCTTTGAACCACTTCTGCCAGTCGCTGTATTCGTGTCTGCGGTCTTCGAGTGTGTGTGTGTGTGTGCTTGCATGTCACGGTTCCCGGACTCTGCGCAGAAGTGGGTCAGCATCAGTGAAGGGGGAGCCACTGGAGCAGAACGTGCTGTACGCAAGGCTCAACAAAGGTTTGATCAAGAATTTCCGATGGTTTTTAGTCATCGTCATGCACAGAGGTATCTCCAGGCTCCCAAAGAAAAACATGAAGCCAAGGCTGAACATGCAGTGATATGTGCAAGAGCGGATCAATCAATGTTGCACCCAAGAGAACAATACTTGGGGCACGATGAAAGTAGGCCACGCCTGTTTTTGTACCCGAGCTCATATTGCCAAAACTGAGGCCTCCATACAAACTCTTTACCGGGCGGATTTCTGCGGCGCTTCTCTGAAGTGGATCAAAATCAGGAAAGGGTGCTGCAAGTCCTGTGGTTCCGCGCTGCTTTTTTGGCTCTTCCCCATATCTGTAAGGCACCGGTACTACACCGAGTTCCATCCAGCCATCTGTTGGCTAATCAAGCCCGGGCTCTCAGCTTGCCGTGGGAAACTTTGAGCCACACCCACTTCTGAAGGTTGAATCACCGATCCTCAAAGCAAACACATGTTTCTGGAGTTTGTATGATTCTTGAAAATAGCGTTGCCCCAGAGTGCTGGGTGTGTAGACTCCCATGTTTTAGGAGTCATGGAGGCTCCAGGTTGCTGTTTCGCGGATTCTGGGCAAATGGTTGCGACCTCATCAAGGAGGTTTCAGGGCTTCATGAAGCGCGCTTTTTCTTATACTGATATCGGGGTCTTATGCCTTATGCGGGTGTTGTCATTTGTTTAAGACACCTAAAGGTAAATACACATTCTGGTTGGCTCACCAATTTGACGATGCACTCATGAAACGAAGTTTAGAAGGAACTTCCAGTCGACGTAATTCCCCACCGAAATGACACCCATGGATCCCAGTTGCCTAAATAGTCGGTAACCCTTCGCCATGTTCCTCGTTTTTAACCGGTGGTTCCTAGAAAGATGGAATCGCTGGGATGTGCAAATGGTCCCCAATTCCAATTTATACCCATGGGTTGCCCAACACATCTCATTCAGGGAGTCGATGACCATCAACCAGCCGTATACGGACTGCTTGCAACCGGGAAAAAACCACGGCTGGCAACGTGCTACTCCCAAACCGCCGCCGTAGTTTGGGAGATACTGGATCCGGTTCCCAGTCGCGGTTTGAAAAGTTATGTGCGCGGATCCTTGCCGCTGACGGTAAAGGGGATGATGTGAGGTCTGCTCACCAAACCGCAACTTGTAAAAAGCGTGTGTTTTTGTGTTTGTGTCGAGTGTGCCTTTTTGTTTGTTGGTTTTAAAGGGGATCCCTAAAAATAGACACACCAACATGGGTGGACTCACAAAATTAGAATGTCACTTAGTGACACAATACATATTGACTGTGGCTCTTTCACGCCGCGAGCCTGGGAGCCCCAGACCCGAGGAATAATGTGCCCACCATCATCATTGGGGCGTCTGAGCCGGACCCCTCCTGGAAGCAGGCTGCGAGCAAGGGCATCCAGTGGGCCAGGTGGATGTACATTTGTATATATATATATATGACGTATATGTATGTATGTATGTGTGTAGTATATCTGTAGGTCTGTCAAATGATGAACCTTGTTTTTTTTTTTCTTTTTTTTTTTCTTCGTGTGTATGTAGGAATTTATGTATTCGCATGTGGTTGTGATCAACACATATTTATGTTGAAACTGATGTAGGTAAAAGTACGCAAACACATTGGTACAGACCCCCAAAAGCAGCACATGTACATGATTATCTACTATAGTGGTAGCTGGAAGCACTCGCGTTCCTGTGATTGAGCTCACTAGCCCAAGGCGAGTCAACCAGATTTCTGACCTGTACTCTGATTTTGGCGAAGTAATGCATCCCTAGACATGATAATTTGTTGTTTTCTGACAGGCTGCCAACTAGTCATGGGGATCACCACAACCATGTGTTTCTTTGTAAGGCCCAACATGTTGGCTTCGTGTTGAACAGCACAACATTTGCATGCGTTCTTTTGCACCTGGAGTTGCCAAGCATGCCACATGTTTCCCGCTGCCCAGGTGGGTTGAAATTATCGGGGCCGTTTGCCCTCCCGTGCTCGTGGTGGACAATTAGACTTTACTCCCCTACATATTTCACATGGAGCCCAATTTCAAGGGTGTTGCAGGGGTCCATGTCTGGCCCAGCATTTGAATCCTGGTTGAGCCCTAGGTTTAGGGCTGATTGTAGACCAAGACTACTAAAGCCAGACTAAAGGACATCGAATCGACCGCAGGAATGAAACCTCTGTCTTTTCCGGCCGCGCGGGTCACGGGTTGTAACCGGGTTCCAGATCAAGCATCAGGCCATCTTTTTCACTGGTCAGCCCCAAACAGAAATGTTGCCAACAAGGCGAGAGAGAGGCTTGGAGCATTCTACTTGGTTGCGTGTTCCGCTTTCATTGAACGGGTCAGTGGGCAGCTGGGCAGCTGGGCAACTGGGCAACTGGGCAGGATGAGGTTCTGCTGAAGAAGTTGGGTGCAGAGATCCTGGCACAGCGCTCAGCCTTCCTTGGCAGTGTGCCATGTGTGCCATGGTCAAGGGGACTCTTCGGGTCGCAAAACCAAAATGATGTCACAGACTGAATATGCAACAGAGTCTCAACGTGTTTTTTTTCCTGTGCGCCCTAGAACAAGCTTTCGCACTTCCCCAAATCCACTTGCAATAACCTTGTCAACCTTATTCTACTGGGTATTTTGGAGAAGTGAGCTTTACTTAGGGGCTGGGGTCGCCTCCAAAAGTAGTTCTGTGTCATAAGCCCTTCAGTAGCCAGTGTCGGCGCAGGTGATCAGGATTCCTGTCAAAGCACCCTTCAGTTGCCATGGCTTGTGGTCGTGAGTGGCGCAACATCATGCCGTTTGTTTTTGTCCAAACATGGGTGATTCCTTTGTGTGGTTTCTATATGATGTCGTTTCCGTTCCTCCGCAAGCATGCCCAAGCACTTGGCAATTCAATCCCGCACATGTCCGCGTCCCATCTCCTGTTTTAAGGCGTCCAATGAGCAGTTCACACCATTTGTAGTTTTTTTTTTGGTCAAGGCCGATGGGAACCATGTTCAGCCCCCTGCTTTGGGAGCCAGTTGTTGATCTGTTGGTTTTTCCCGGGCCAACCCTTCCTGCTTCAATGCTTCCATGGCAACTCCGAGCATGTCGCGCCCAGGTGTCCAGGAGGGAGTCGCCATATCCGATGTGCCTACCAGGGAATTCCACGGTCCGGAAATGCAGCCGCTCGTCATCGGGACCGTACCAATCAGGGGCGGTTCCCCTTTATTCATGTAATGTTTTTTTAGATGGCTCCCCCAACTAGTAAGATCTGGATCATTCCGAAGTTGCTATTAGTGGGCAACCAATGGAACCCTGTGAAACCCGGAGGAACATGGCAAGGTTTTTCTGCCATACTCGTTTGCCTTGGATCCGCTGGGAAATGAACACTTTGGCTTCTGCTACGTATGAGTAGTCGCTCGATCTGCGCGACACCTAAGAGTTTTTTGAAATGAGCTAAAGTTCAAAATGCACAAGGGACACCAAAGGCGGATTTTTTTTATATATTTTTTCAGACGCCCTTGTTGATAACCAGCACGTCTCAAAGTTAGCAAAATAATGCAGATGGACCACCTGACGCTCATGAACCACGGGGAAGGTCCAACGCCTCTGAACGGGACATGGGTCCCGCAGAATCGTCGAAAAGGTGTTTTTTTCGTACGGGCAGGAAGCCGAGGCAGACTTGGAGAAATTGTTTCTGCCCCCCGAAGAAAGTGACGAAATGACTTGAGGCAGGAGACCTACTTACTCAGGTGTTGCAAATGGACGAAGCCTCCGCATATTATGATCCGTGATTAGTTCAACCCACTGCTCCACCAATTGTTGTTTTGTTGAGGTGGGTGTGGGTCAAAATTAGACCACCAGGGGACCGCAGGTTTTAGTCTTTGTTTCCATTTGCCAGGGTTCCATTCTGGGTGCTTATTTTTGACCCACACCCAGTTGCAAACATTCAGGTAATGCTTTGGTGGTTTGGATTGGTGGTAATTGGGGACTTGAACCATTGGTTCTTGTAGGGTGAATTTGATGCCACCCTAACCTCCCAACCACCTATGAGAGGGAAACCGAAAACATATGTTCCAACTTAACGCATATAGTTTGCGGCACCAACAACGTTGCCCATCCAACCAACAAGTGGTCTGTTTGGTTGCTTTCCTTCCAACCCAAACACTCATTGATCCTTCTCGGGAAGGATCATCGAACCCCCTTAGGGACGCCAAGCGTGGTTTCCCTGAAGCTGCCCTGTGGAAGCCTTTGGGCAGCGTGTTATTAGCATGGGCCCAATCAATTCTTCATAACCATTCCATGTCTCGAAGAAGGGGACTGCCACCATCGGGGATGGCCGTAAGTCTTCCTAAGTGAAGAGCGGTGATGGGACGGAAAGAGAACACACACACACACACACCTCCGCACAAACAACCACCAACAAGCCATAGAACAATTTTTCGCACTTCCTGACTTGAGAATACCAAACCTCTAGGGGTACCTTCCCCATTCTTTCCAGGCATCCTTCTTTCTACAAAACCACCCAAAACCCTGGGGAAACAGATCCGGTTTTTGAAAAGACCGGGGATCGAAAAGAATGGTTGGAATCAACCGTTAGAAAACCGGGGGAAGGGGGGGGGGGGGGGAAAAACGGACCCCAGTGGGGGCTCAGAACTTCCCGATCGGGCCGAGGTCACATCATCGGTTTCAAGGGCGGCAAGGCGGGCGCCACCAGCACAGCTCAGAAAGTTTTGCCAAGTGTTGTTTTTGGAGGGAGTGTCCCTTTAAAGGGCAGTAAAGGCAGTGTAAACGCCCTTATTGATTCTTTATCATGTGTTTTGGCTAAACTCCTTGTGTAACAGGCTTTATTGTGACTCATTTGGCCAGGTGTGAAGATAGGGGGCAGCCCCCTAAAACGGTGTTTTTCCTTCTTGTTTCCCTTGAAACCAACCCGAAGGCTACCCGAGCTTTGTAACAAGCACATCTATTCCTGACGAGACCTTGGCAGCCTTCAGGCGCTGGAAAGGGACAAGCTGATGACCGCCGGAGTCTTGGGAGTCTGCGAGGCATTCCGACCCAACTCTACAACCCACTTTTGTAGGTGCAGTCCCAAAAATGTTGGATCCTGGAAGTGTTTTTGTTTTTTCGGCGAAAAAGGGAAGCCTCAAGAAAAGACAGATCCAAATTGCAGTGATGGTTTTTCGTTGGGGTTTGTACTCTTTGTGGGGTGTTGTTCAAGGAAAACCAAAGGGAACCCACCTATTTGGAGGTTTCCTAGTTTAGACATGCCCTGAGGGCCACAACAAGTATAGTCTTACTTGCAAAAACAAGATGGGTGAGTTTGAGGGGGCGAGTTGGTGGGGTCAACCAGAGCTGGGGTCGTATTTGTGGAAACATGCAAGGGCGGGTGGGGCAGTTGAGGGCGGGAAGAGGGCATGACTCAGTGGCCTATCCAAAGCTTCAGCCCCCGACCTGTTTTACTGGGTATGGCCCGAAAGGATTTGGAGCCCCACACTTGTGGTGTTCTTTTTGGTTTCCCTTTAGACCAAGCCCCGAAATGAGCCACAATCAACACCCAGGTAGATGAGGGTTAGTAAGGAAACTAGGGTGGTTTCTTTTGGATCTACTGCGGCCAAATTGAAAAGAGTCAATCAAAGGGATCAATTGAATTCAACACATGATTAAAGGGCATCCAAGATAAAATGTAACCTAAGGATCGCTTTGCTTACTCTTGACCCAATATTGCTCTCCGATTTTGTTTTCATGTTTCAGGGGGGTGGGGGTTTTCCTTTTATCTCTGGAGACATTTGTCCGTTCCCTCAAATAGGCGCAACAACGAGGACATGGGGAAGTGCTTTGCACGGGATGGGCTGCTGGAAGCATTCCTCAGCTTGTTTGACCCCAGTCTGCCCGGAACACACCTTTCAAGAGCCTTGCTAAGCTTGTGTTAGAGGAGTCTGCTTTTGGGCGTTAGCTTGCAGGGAAAAGTGAAGCAAAGTGAGGGACAATCTCGTTGCCACAACTAGGTGGGAACATCTGCCCTTTGGACCCATGAAATGCCAGGCTTTGATTATGAATGAATCTTGTTTGCCTCTGAGCCCTTCTCAGACTGGTTTTGGCTAATTCGTTGCGATCGGCACTAAAAACTGCCGTCGCAGGAAAGGCGGGGGTCTGCAGAGCACTTTCCGCCTTTGAACATGAGCCATAATTAACAGCCGGGGACGGTGCCCCTTGCCATCAATTTGCGATCGATCCGCCCTTTTCTTTGGTGCATTTCGCTTGGCTGTTAGGACTTTAACTTTTTGCCAACGAATGGGTTTTCCACTAAACGCCTAAAAGTTAAACTTTTAGCAGGGGAGCAGAAAGCAACCGAGTTTTGATTCTTCATGGGATGTTGGGTTATGTGAAAATACCAATCGGTGTTGATTGTGAGCATGGCTCGGAAACCTCTGACTCCGGACCCGTTTGAGCTTCACAGAGATATTAGTCATAGTCGTCTTCTGGTTTCTTTGGTTCCATTTTTGTTTTTTTCATGGTTGGGCTGTACGCAGTGTATAAAGCTACCATACCACTTGGTTTGGGAGGTAGTTGGTATGTTTTTTCCTGGGGGTCCCTGAAGATGCTATCATTTTCCCAGATGTTTTTCTTGAGAGAACGCGTCTGGCACATCTCTCCAAACAGCTCTCAGGGCATTCTTGATACGAGCGTCCCTATGTTTCCTTCTTCGGGGGGTGAACAAGAATCACCGGTTTGGCCCATGAAAGGTGAGTGTCCCTTTGTGGGGATGTTTTAAAGGGAAATATAAGGAGTCCTGTGATAGGCGATAGGCCCCTGGAGATTCAGTCACAAATCACGGGAGCACTGCTCGGAGGGTTCTTCGACCAAGAAGAAATGGGGGCGGGGTCAGCTTGAAAGCCTGACTGCGCGAAAAACGAGGCCAAAGTGGAGCTTTTGGCCGATGACTATGTGGTGCGATGAGAAGGAAACCTCGTGACCCGGGGACAAAGATGCAGCATTGAGTCCCCCTTGGCGTCCATCCAGCACACACCCGCTGTGTTTGTTGTGTTTTTTTACCGGACAACTCCCAAGAGGTTGCAGCTTCGTTCGGACACAAAAGCATCGAACGCACGTCATGTCTGCTGCACCAAGCCAGCGGAAGAGGTGTAAAATTCACCGCATTGTTGCACCGGCGAGCGGAAAAGGGGTGCTCATGAGCCTTTACTGGGGTCTCCTCCCAATTGTTTCACATGTTTTCGGGAAGACTAAAATATGAAGCAGACCAGAACTCATAACATATTATGTTACATAGTACCTCAGACGTGGGACAAGTCTTTGCTTTGTGTTCATGCCTTTTGCATACCGTCTTTCTCTAGGACATCTGACTCAACAGGAGGTACCATGGAGAAAGCGTCGGGTAGGATCCTTCAAATAGGTTTTGAAGGCTCAAGCATTCGGGAGTGTTGGGGTATGACCTACATAGCACAAGGTTTTTTTCACCAGCCGAAAGCTGCGGGGTGATGCCCAGGCTTTGGAGTGGCTAGGGGTAGCTCTGGGACAGGGTTCTCGAAGGGAGCAAAGGCAAGGGAGGTTGCTGTTGGGGATACTAGCGGGGCTCATTTTGGAAGGGCGAGTAACCTTTTTGGTTGTTTGAACCTCTTTAAAGGGCCCATTTGAGGCGAGTTTCCTTGGTAGGAGTGATGTTTTAAGGGGGAAAATAGCCCCGATGTTTCATCCTGTTAGACGGGGTGTCCCCAAACCTCCCCTGCAAAAGACCAAAAAGACGAGGTGCCACGCTATGGTCAAAAGACCGATTCCCTGCTTGGGGCATGGCCACCTGGGTGTCAAACCCCGCTACTGAAACCTTTGGTTGCCAACAACTTCCTAACTTGACCGGTTTGACCACACGACGGCCAATGTGTAGAACCGTGGACCTGGACCCTCAAACTACCCATAAAAATGGGATAGCACCCCATAGTTTTGGGGGTCAAACCATTTTTAAGGGAATTTTGAGGGTTCAGGGATGGCAAAGGATACCCGCACCAATTTCCGATCAGAACAAGTCACTCACCAACTTCTCGGTCGCTCCGTAAGGGTCGCGATGCACATTGACCGTGGCTCATCGCTAAAGGACTCGAAGCCGAGTGAGCTGTTCATGGTTGTTGTTGGGAAACATTATTCCCATTTAGTGGTTGAAGTCTTATTTTCCTAGTGAGCTGTTCATTGAGTGGATTTCCCCATTTGTGATCTTATTGTGGTTTAGCGGTTGAAATCCATCCACTTTACTGCTAAAGTTTAAATTGTTGCGCCCCTTCCAACGTCAACCAAGTGTTAGTGACAGTGACGTGGGATAAATCTGGACCGTAAGGGGAAGATGGCCCCTTCAGTGGGCCATCGTCCCATGGCTACCTGTGGCATGCTCTAAGTCAAGAGCTGACTTTGCCACCAGGAACTTCTCATATCCAACTTTTCCATCCCGGCCAGTTGTTCCGGGGAGTTGATTTTAATTTAACCACATTCAGGAGATGGGAGAATCACATCTACTGGGGACGTATAAAGAGATGTGACACAACTCTTGGAATGTTGACCATAGGTGCTGACATCCTGGGTAGATTGAGCCGACCTGTGTGGTTTTGCCACCTTCCAAGGCCCGAGCCTGGGACACCATTCGGTCCACAAATGCACACCACGCAACCAACACGCAACCAACACACACACACACACAAAACACAAAACCACTTACAATCAGAAAGGAGTTTTTTTGGTGCTAACGCCGCATCAAAGCACAGCTTCAAAGCTGTCAAATAGCAGGCAGACAGGGCAGGTTGCCACACGAACCATTCAGGTGACCGTGCCTTGTCCTTTTGCCAACAAAATCTTCCAGGTGCGAACTCGGGGCAAAACGCGGAACTTGTGAGACTGATGCCCCTAAATCTGGCACCCAGTGATTCCATTTCCGTGCATAACCAATGGAGCCACCCTTGAACAAAACGGAACATGTTTTACTGAGATCCACCGGGGCAAGTAAGCCAAACAAAAACCAGGGCAACTTGCAGGGTGGTGCTTTTTCCTACTTGCAGTAAGTATTTCCTTTGGACCAAATTGTGCACTTGCGACCAAATCACGCCAAGCCCTTTCAGATCCAAGGAGCCAGCCGCAAAGTAGTCAAGTCTTCGCATGTGGTTTAGGTTAGTGCTTTGCTACCATACCAAGGCTTGGGAAGAAAGAGCAACTTGTTCCGAGCGAGAAACGCGCGCAGAAGCCGCGTGGCATGTGCCATTTGAGGCAGGGGAGTTGACGTAATGGGAGCCCGGGCATTTTTGAGGCCAACGGTACCCTTTTTGGGGTTGGTTTAGAGGGAAGCCACAAATTTTAGGGGTCCAAATTCCTATTTTGACATACTCAATGAATCAATTGGGCGGATTACAATGAGCGTACCGATTCGGGTCCTTTATAGAGGGGGCTCCGGATAATGATACTTGCACGAATGAATATTGTGAACCCCGGACGGGCGAACACGCTTTCAATCCGGCGGGTGTATCAATCCGAGGTCAACATCATTCACCCCCGGTTGATTTCGATTGGGGTGCCGGATCAAACGGACCACTCTTTGGGTATTCACCAGTCCGAGATGAGGTGTACATCCGTTCAGGCTTTTTGTTTCGCGACAAGGAGCAAGCTCCCTGGCTGTCGTGTTTCAGGAGCCATCTCGGTATTTCCAGCTCGGGGCAAAATTCGGATCGGGTGAAATCCAAAGGCCCCAAAGCTTTTGGAAACAAACGAGCTACCGCAAGGGTTGGTACAATGGATATGTATTGGAGTGGAGTAGGGCAACTAATTACTCAATGTCAGCCCAAAAAGCGGCAAAGGGAGGGTAAAGCTCAAGAAGGTTTGGTGGCTCGCATATGGCTTTTCCACTAAAGCCAAACGAGGGTCGACCTTTTGCTTGTTGGGGGCGGGTAGAGGAACCTTTCGGCGGGAAGAGGATGGTGAGCAGAAAGCTTTGAGCGAGTTCTTACTGCTCGGGGCTAAAACACGGAATTCCACCCATCAAGGCCCTTAAATTTACTGTTGACAATTATACATGCTGAATCCCAATATGCTGAATTGTTCCAAAGGGCACCAACCCGGCCCCTACTCAACCATCACAGTTGTGTATTGACCATGGCAGGGAGCAAATACATGATTTCCTGATTTCAGGGATACGCAACAGTTTTTGTGCAATTTTCCACGTTTCCACAAGATGTCAGGTACCAAATTGTTGGTGGGTTTGGATTGGCGGCTTGGGGAGTTGAACCCCTGGTTCTTGTATAGGGTAGCTGGGACAACACCCCTTAACCACAACGAGAGGGAAGTTGAAATTGTGTTGAGCAAATGATCGATCGGATGAATTGGAAAGGAAACACATCGAAAAAGACAAAAGCAGCCATTTCAGGATTGGACCCAAATTTTAGGTTCCACGTGAATTTGCCGAGAACTGGCCGTTTTTGTTGTGGAGAGGCATGTATGGCAACATGAGGCTTATGCTTGGACACCTCTTCTGTTACTCTGCAGGAGGAGAAGATTCGGGTCATAAGCCCGTGGATTTGCTTTGACTCTAGACAATGCACCCATTTTGCCTGTTTTCAAAAGGGGCCCTTGTCAGGGAAGGATAAACATGGGAGAATGGACAGTGGTTTTGAGTGCCCACAAATATCGACTGGCAGCCCCACTGATTCTTGGATCGCAAATGCCATTTTGGAACTTGGTGGGCACCACCTTGGAGCTCTTTGAGCAAAACTGCTGCGACACAGCCCCAAATTTGAGGAAGCTGAACAAAAAAGCCAAGAGGCTCCTAGAGGTGCACCAACGCTTCGAAATCGATCGATCTGCCTCTGGGCTTCAAGCCATTCCATCGAGATAAAACAGGGGAAAGCCGTGTGGGTGCTGTACCTGGGAAGTTGTTGTTATTGTTTCAGGGTGTTGTTTTTTTGTAGAATTCGCAGATCAATCACCCATGTTGCAGACGTCGCTCTGAGCGGAGGTTCTGACATGGCCAGGGCGCCAAGCAAATCCCGGTACTTAGCATCTCAGAGGCCTTCAGACATTCACAGTCCATTTGGTGAAATGCATGTAGTTCTGGCTTTTGTTGTCCCCTCTTGCTCCTAAAGGGAATCAGCTATCCTACTAGACATGTTTTCTGATTTTGTTTTCTCCTTTTTTGTTTTTCTTCATGTTTTTCCGTTTTTTTCTTTTTTCGTGGGACGGCAATGGCAGTTTATGTACTCGTGGACCAAGCATGCCGCCATAGATAGTCCCTTTCCCAAGTAGCCCAGTCGAGTTCCTGGACTCAAAGCTTTTTGGGCAGACCGTCGTGGCAAAATCCTTCGGCTTCTTCGGGTACTTCCCCAACGGAATGGGTTCAAAGGGAAACAGACAGGAAACTCGCCATTTTCCAGGGGTTGGTTCCTTTGCCATTCTGTTCAGCCATCGTTCTTTTCAAAAACTGGATCTGTTTCCCCTGGGGTTCTGGTGGTTTTCTTGGAAAGAAGGATCCCTGGAAAGAATGGGGAAGTGTCCCATAGAAGTTTGAAAGTTTGGACTTGTTTTGGCCAATCCACAGGAAGTAGCATATATTCACGTCTTACAAGAAGATGGCTTCAACAAATGGGCCTACGTGGGAAGCTTGCTTTGTTAAAAGTCCATGTGACTGGCATAGAAGTTCAGACTTGGGCCAGCAGGGGGGTGTTCAGCCGGTCAAAAGTCGAGTGCTCCCTTGGCTCTGTGTTTTTGTTTTGGGAATTCAAAACACCTTTCCAAGAGAGTGGCATTGCCTTTGTCCGGGCTCACCGGGCCACCTGGGCTTTGGGGCTTCGCGCTTCGCCCTGATTGGAGGCTGAGGGGACCTCAAAATCCGGCCATTGGGAGTCCTGTTCCTGACGAGTCTTGCACGCACAGGATGTGGGCTGTCTCATGGACCTGATGTGGGAACCCCATGGAACGGGCGGTTTCCTGTTGCGTTCAACCTGCTTTCCTGCTTTCTCCTTGTTCTCTCCTTGACCTCTGGCTGTTTTCTCCATGTTCCCTTCTTGTTTGCCCCCTGAAACCACTTTGTGTGCCCCCTTCCAATGGTTTCCACCTGTTTTCACTTGTTTTCCACTGGTCTTCCACTGGTCGAGACTCCGAGGCAGCTGAGATCGGCTTCGTCCAGCAGCGCTTGGGCTCAGCTCGAGTCAAATGAAATTTCAGGTGGCCATGTGGCTGTGGCTCAAGAAACCGGAAAACCAAATTGGGTTGCCCCGGTGAGTGGAAGCATGGACCAAATCCTGCGGTTTGCTCCTCCTGTTTAATTTTGAGCCGAGCCACACCCATGTGACCAGTGAGTCACAATCAAAACCCGGGCTAGTGAAGGTTAGTAAGGGACAGTCCGAAGCGTAAATAGTTGCGGCCGCCTTCTTAATTCTTTACTTGTTTTATTCCAGGTGTTGATTGTCACAATGCTGGACATCATTTGATGTCTTATGTTTGAAGTTGGTACCCCTTTTTGAGCGCGTGTTTAGAGGCAAACACAGGAACACCACTAATTTGGGGCGGTCGCCTAAACAAAGACACCCATGTCGGACAGATTTACGTCCACCACTTTTGAGGTGCATGTATCACACTTGATCATATCGCCTTATGTGCCATGAATGCGGGATCAACCTTGGAGCTGAACATGTCGTTGACAAAGTTGCCGTCCCAGCGCTTCAAGGGGAAACCGGCGGGTTGAATCAACTTGGCGCAGATGACCAAAGGGCCTTTGGAAACCAGAAGTGTTTTTTTTTGTGGTCTTCGGGGGTCTTTGATGCCCTCATATTTGCATGTGTCTGTTTTGAGGGACACCCCCTTTTCTTGTAGTGTTACAGGAAAACCAGAAGGAACACCCAAGCCATCTTGTGGGGTGTTTGTAAACAAGACACGGCCATTTGGAGTCTTGGGTCCCTAGAAAACTCTTCGACAGGTGCCTCTTCTGCGGATCCTACTCTGCCGGAGCCCCGGACGTTTCATACCGAGCGATCGGATGCGATCGGAACGCAGCAGAAATGGGGGCACCAGGTGTGTGGAAATCGGGGGAGGGGGTTGTTGGCCAAGCTTCATTGCCAGAGCAAAGACCTGCTTTTTGTTGTTCCATCATTTTCCAGTGAGACCAGCAAAATGCAGGGGGGGCGGATCCGTTTGCCAAAGTTCTGTGCGATATACTAACCAAGGATTTGAATCCACTTAGTGACAACATAGGGATGCCATCCCACTCGATGGCCAACTTTGGTATGCCAGAAAGGGCAAGTTTCAATGTTTACCACCATGTACGAGGTATAATAGGACTCGGGCGGTAGCCTTTGTGTTTTTGATTATCAGGGCTGAAGAGCTAGTTGCGTGTGGCTTCTACCGGGAGTGGTGCATGACAACAAATGGGGTCGTAACCCTAGTCTGTTGGTTCATGACCCCCATCCATTTTTACTGTTCATGGAGACCCCAGGCGTTCAGAGTAAAGGACTTTGCCATGTGCTGCAAGAGGGGGGGGTTCGGATCAAAACGCTCACAATTGGGAGGGATGTGGAAACATCAAGCTTTTGAGAAAGTGGTGGCTCTCTCCCTTCTCCAAGCGCCTACAAAACATCTTTCTCTTGGTTCCTTCCCCATTCTTTCCAGGGATCCTTGTTTCTACAAAACCTCCAGAATTCCAGGGAAAACGGCCGGTTCTTGGAAAGAACGATGGTTGAAAAGAATGGGGGATCAACCCCTAGAATCTTGTTCCATTAGTTTTTCAAGGTCAACAAGTCTATGCCAGGCGTGGAAAGATGGCCGCCACATCATGGGCCCCAGCGTGTGGGGGTCCTCAAAATCTGCTTCACACCTTCCCAACATGTTCGATCCTTCTCGCAAAAAATGGCTCGAAACTCAAGTTGAAAGTCGATGGCACTTCTCGAAAAATGGCTCGAAACCCAAGAAGCATCATGTTTGGAAAGATGACACAACCTGCCGGAACGCCTTGCCAAGCCGAATCCCTCGCTCGCTAGGTGTGGGCGGTGGATGCTTTGGACCCTGCGGAGGCCGGTTTCGGGGAAGCCTTGGTTCGGCGGCGGCTTGGGAACTGGGGATTGGAACCCTTGGTTCTTTGAGGGCCAATGGGAACTGCCCCAACCCAGCCACACAAGGCCAGTTTGCGGGAAGCTGATTCACGCTTAGTTTCAAAGGACACCAAAAGGACTTGTGCTGTTTTTTTGGGGGAGGGGGGGGGGCTGGGGGGGTAATCAATGTCTATCTGAAGCTATGTAGATAGAATTTCACAAGGAACGAATCCGATCAACATTTACATTTGAACCATTTTTTCAAATTACAAGTTACGCAGGATGTCCTTTCCACTAGGATTGTCTTTGCAACTTATATAACCTTTAAACACAGTGTATTCAACTACTTTGGGACCTCTTGTTTTATGCTTATCAAGTTCTACCCAGTTTCTAACTGAATCAATTCAAAAATAGCATAGTCCAATCATAATTATGTTAACTTTTTATGTTTAGTAATACATCGTCTATGTCAAATCACCATTTACACGGGGTTTCCTTTCCAACATATTGTTTTCACATCATCTCGGTTAACATTCAATACTGTACCAAGGCTTGGATGTGAACTACCCAAGTGCTCTTGAACACAGAAGCTCTTGCACACATGCCTGAAACGATAAATTTCTATACAAATGCAAAGCCTCCAGACACACCAAAGCAACAAAATAACAAAGTTCAGACCCACGTCCCAGATCCTGTACCCCCCCAATGGGTCTGTGTTGTTTTGACGTTTTGACTTTCTGGAGGTTTTGTGCATTTTTCTCCAGACCCCGTGTGTCATTTTTCCGTGTTTAGCTTTAAGAAAAAAAAGGCAAACCAACCACCCAATTAGTGCGGAAGTATTGCGAGGCAAGGGATCAGGCGAGGCAAGGGAGGCAGGTGTCGCCCATGGCAGGTCTCACTTAGAGCTGCTGTGCAAGGCAGGGGGCCAGCAGGAAGATGTGAGGAGCACATGCGCCATTCGTAAAAGTGGCAGTTTCTATAGGTATGTGTGTGTGTGTGTGCGTGCGTGTGGGTTCTGAACGTACCCTTTTCCCAGTTGTTCAGAGCCTACCTTTTGACCTTTTGGTTTTCCTATGTTGGTCCATATTTTGTCATGGCCCCAAAAGGTGATCACCTTTCAGTTGCAGGTCCGAACTGGGCAACTGTCACCTTGGTTTTAAGCGACACCGAAAAAGCAAGAACACATTTGTTGGGAGGCGTTGGTTGTCTCAAACCGATGGTCTCTCTGACTGGCTTCATGTTTTCAACTCCTGGCTGGACCCCCTGGATGGTGAGGTTATGGGTACGCTATTGGAACTGCATGCTGGTGTTTGAGTTTATCTCCCATGTTTGGGGACCAGACAAAATTGGAAGTTTGGGATCTTGAGGCTTCAGGGATGGCTAGTGACCTGCCTATAGAGAGTTTAGACAGCCATGGTGGCTGAACCATGACCATGGCCATGACCCACATGACCCACATGACCGGATGCTTGCGGGGGGTGGACATATCGGGTTCGAACCAGTTGTGTCCTCAGGGGTAACTCCTCATCGTTTCTGTGGAGTTGCTGGACTGTACTAGGTTAGCTATCGCAGGTCACAGAAGCTTACATTTGGGTGTGTCTCTTTTGGGAGCCTCTTTCATTTTGTTCAGCAACTAGCCTTGAATTTGTCAATTTGGTTTGGGGGGGAACCCATTTCGGTTGATGTTTTCATCGCAACCAAGAAGAAGCCAGCCATTTTTGGGGGGGGCTTGCAACATGTTGAGACAGCCCATGCCACGATCTTTGCTTTGGGCTCAACAAGGCAAAAGGAGCAGTTGCTGCGTGTTCATTGTGACGACTTTGCTGGTGCGAGAGATGCAGGGAATGAGAAATGGAAGAAGCCCTTATAGAAAAAAAACAATCCGCTAAGGTTTCCTGGGAATCCCCAGGTTCATTCCAGTTTTCCTGCCCCTGTGTCTTTTGTGTTGGTTGTGCCCCAGCTGATTCAGCTATGTGGTCCCGCAGTGGGCTCCAGAGTCAGCTTTGAGAGTTCTTCTGGGTCCTGCACCCACAAGGAGTCCAAAGCCCTTGTATGGGCGTGCGGGGGCGTCCATCATCGTATTTTGAGGCAACCATTGGTTCTAATTCTTGCATGGATTTTCTATTCGGCAAGCAGACTCCAAGAGGTCATAATTGACGCGCAGGCCAGAAAGTCTTGCAGAAGGATGCCGGGACTTCAGGTCATGTCGAAGTTGTTGCAGGAATCCGAAACTATTCTACCCAAAGTCTCACGACTACTGCCCGCGTCTCCGAAACGGAGTCCCTAAGAGAGGTCGCCCCCACCCTAGAAAGATCCATGAGCGTTTGGGTAAATGCTAAGGTGCAGTAAGGCCAGAATGAAACGATATACATATCACATTGTTTGTTGGAGGGGGGCAAAAGCAGAGCCAGGCTTGCCTTTTGCTGATAATAACCCTCTTTTGGTGTTGTTGACATGGGAACCATGCAGAATCCATTTGTTGGGGTCCCATTTGGAGACAGGCCCAAGTACAGATTCAGAGCCACTTTGTCAGTTTCTTGTGTTCATGTGGGCGCGGAACAACTTCTAACCTAAGATGGGTTGGGAAGACATCACACGGAATGGAGCCTGCATCATCTTTGTTGGTGGTAGCATCACCAAACAGCGCCTCCAATGTGATTCCTGTGAGGGGGGAGAGGTTGGAAGGCGAATACACTTGACCCCTGGAACTGCAAAGTGATCATCATTTTGGTGATGTTGGAGTATTTCAATACACTTGGACCGCTGTGGATTAGATGCTACCTTCTTTGCCGCAGTGGCAGGCCGTGGGGCAATTGAAGTGCCGGCTGCGGGAAAATCGGATCCTCCATTTGCGCCCAAAGCTCGACAGGATCTGACCAAATGGCCTCAGTTTGATCCATGCTTCCCATCTGGGCAGACCCTTCCAGGGACTTAGCAGATGTTTCCCATCGGTTTCCTTGTGCTGGTTTCCTTGTTTGCTTTGGTTCCTCGAGCTATAACTTATATTGGCTCTTCATGGTCTCTGATTGGTTTCCTTTGGTTTACTTATGGCTTCCGTATATTTACTCCTTATGGGTTCCTTGTAGTTTCCTTATGGTTTCCTTCTAGTTTCTCAAGAATTTGGTTTCCTTTCTGGTTTGCTTGTGGTTACTTGTTTAGTTTTGCCTTGGGTTTCCTTTCCCTGCCTGCCCCACCTTCGGTCTCGGGTTCTTCGGGTCTCGTTCGCATGAGGTCCACGCTGCGCAGGAGGAGCTTCTTCAGGAGCTGGGACTTTCTCCGGTGGTCGCACCTCTCACTCTCTCTCTCTTGCAAGAAAAAGAAGAAACAAAGACAGAACTTTTGTCACTCTTTTGGGTGAAAAGACGGTTTTAGTGGCAAAGTTTGCTTCTGTTTGGGCTTGGACCATTTGAGTGGCCGCAGAATTTGATTCAGATTGTTTCTTTTCTCAGATCCACTCCGGGAGTGCGTTGTTCTCTTTTCTGGCTGTTTTTTGGGTGGAAGGATCGCACATGAGCAGGGTCTTGGGATGCCTTCAATTTCAGCGATCAAACGAAACAAGGCTTGGTGTTCCTTTCACATGGCCACTGGTGTCTTGGTTTAGAAACCAGAACTGAAAACCGCCCCAACACTGAACCATCCAACCGTTGGTCTCCTAGCGGATCCAAATCAGTCCCAAACCCCTTTAATTCCCTGAGAACCAGGGGCCAGGGGTGTAACGTTGGAGCAATCCTTCCGACTTTGTCAACGGCCCAATGGCAACCCTCCAAAAGGTCCTTTCTAAAAAGGAGTCAAGGTCTCATCTAAATGATGTCCACCATTTCGGTTAAAGTTCACTCCCACCCAGTGCTTCCAGTTGCCACCGTAGTTGGTAACCAGGTACGTTTATCTCAGGGTTTTGCATAATGGTTTTCCCTGGCTACCTACTATGGAAGCACTGGGCCAGTACCCAGTTTATATGCATATTATGCCCACCCCCTTTGTTGATGGAATTCGGGGACCCCCGACCCGCCCTCTCCCTGAATGTAGGGGGGTTCCACTCCCAGCAAGGAATGAGGGAGTGAACCTGGGTATTCCCTTAAAGGAAGCCATAGGGGAGGGTTTTTCTCGGGGTCTTTCCATTTCTCACTCTCTGCATCTCTCCCACCAGCAAGTCCAAATTCTTTCGGCCGACCTGTGGCCGGCGAAGGAGGCCCAGCGCCGGTTCCTGCGCGAGGCGGAGGCGGGCCGGCTGGAGCGAGGGCTTTGGAGGAAGGCTTCACGTCCCAGTCGATCCCAGGTATCTAAATAGAAGGTTTCCTACCAGCTGTGTTCCTTTTAGGTTTGAAAGGGTTCATTGGTTACCTAATTTATGGGGAAATGGAATCACTGGGTATTTAAAGAGGCTGAAGAGCTACTTAGTTGTTACTTGTATTCAGCATGGCTAGGCTTGTGCTGCAAGCTTTGTTGGGGGTGTAGTTTGAAGAATAACCCGGTTTCTGTTTGTAGTAAATGCCTTCCTTTTAAGTCAGGGGTTGACATCATAGCCCCGAAACAATTGGCTATTTGGAGCAGGTCAAAACCACACTCATTCCAGCCAGATACCCATGCATATTGCGCAGAATCCTACATACAAAGCGTTTGCATATCTCCCAAATCCCAGGTCAGAGCTCGGTTTATTCCACCTCCCCCCCCCGTTTACCGGACTGTTCCCACGGAAGGCCTTGAGGTTTTCGGCGGAGGTGAGGAGTGAGGGTCCGAGAGACCTTTCGGCTTTCGAGGCAGATGAAAGATACGCCCTGCTGCCCTGCCGAAGCCTTAGCTTTTGACCACAGGTGGGCGGAGTCCTTTTTGGTTGATTTGGTTGAAAAATAGAGGGCCCTGGTTTACCTGGTGGTTCAATCAACTACCAGGGCCATCTATTTTCCAAAAAAGGACACCTATGACCACAGGTGGGCGGAGTCCTCAAGGATGCGTTTTTTTTGGGTTTTAATCTGCCGGAGACAGTGCCTGGACCCTCAAACTGCACGTAAGAAAGTGAATTTATTCTTTATATTTTGGGGGTAATAATCTAAGAGAATTTGTTAAGTGTCCAGGTAGTTGGTTGGAAGTGTCCAGGTAGTTGTTTAGAAACTACCGTTGACCCTGTATTGCTGATTTGGACTTGGGTTTTGCAGTGTAATTAGGTGGTTTGGATTGCTCTTGGGGGAAATCACCACCCCGTCAAGTCGCCCAATTAGCTTGGTTGCGGGTCCGTATCCGCGCAACCCAATGTTCCAGCTTTCAAGATTTCAAAGTTGGATTCTCCAAACCTCTAAATGGGGTCACAGTTTACGTTAGATCAGGGTCAACGCGGGCTGCAAGAATTGGGACACGACTTGCCATGCGAACGCAGGCTGTTGGTTTAGTGGTCGTGTTTTACCCTGGTTGAGGGCCTGTGAATCGAATCCCCCCAGCAGAGTAGGATTGGGATGTTCGATTAACATGTGTTACGAGGTCTTTTTGTTACTTGAGCTTTTTGCTTCTGTTCATGTTTAGTGGATGGCTGCAACAACCGCAGCTTTTTCTCACATACCACAGGTCGAAAAGTTACATTTCTCCCTTGGCGCTAGCTTAAACGGCATTTGTCAAGACTTTCGGCGAATTGCAGCCGGGGTGCGATTTGGGGAGAGGGAAAGAGAAGACCCACTGTGCGAGCAAAAGTGGTTTGAGCAAGCTTGGATAAAAGTAAGCAAGGGTGTGCTGACAGACGAGTCACCATTGCCAGACTTAGCTTGGCCCACAAGGGCAACAAGCCCTTTGGGTTTCCTTGAGTGCTTCCTTTCCTCAGCAAAACCTTTGCTTCTTGCTGGGGTCTAAGTCCGGCCAAGTCGTGTAGGTTTATAGCAAGTTCCAATAAGTTTGTGTCATGGCACATCTTCCTCGCATTCGCTCCTTCCGAGGCTGTCAAACACAAGCTTCAGGGAATTGGGTTCCTAATGTGATGTCAAACCCTATGGTATGTGTCAAAGGGGGCCCTACACCTTACAAACCAACCTGAAAGGGGTATATACCGAGCCTCAAAACATGACACACACACACACACACCCTTGCCTTGGTTTTTTGTTTTACCTCGAGGGCCTTCAAGACATCCGGATACCGCTTTGATCTGTTGGCGGAATCCAAGGGGCCCAGATTGCCCCCCCCCCCCCACAATTTTTTGCTTTGGCTTTGCCAAGCTGAAAAGGCGACCTGGAATTTCCAGCCTCAAAATTGGGGTAACAAAGTCCCATGTTTTGGGCGGTCAAGTGCCACTCTTGTAAGGGCCAGAGGGAGACTCCAGGTACCAACCGCAAAGAAACAGCTGGAGCCTTATTAACTTATGGAACGCTCAACCATTTGAATAGTGCTTCAACATTATAAGGTGTTGTCCCTTTTTCGGGATAGTTGGGAACTTAGGGAGGTGCGTCATCCCATAGGGTCAGAAGGAGGACAACTTCAGGCCACTCTGTCTGACGTTGGCCTCATAAGTTGTGGATCATGACGGACAGCAGCATGTGCTTGGCCAAGGGCAGAGATCAAGATGAGTGAATGTGGTCAAGAAGCACAACGTGGCAACATGAATTGACGACCACTTCGTGGACATGTACGAGGACGACATGACCAACGTCGAGCACACGTTCTCGAGTTCCTCACAGTTTGGTTGCTGAACTGCTGCGGCAAACACGCTTCAAGAGTCGGAGAGAAATCATGGAGAAGTGCCTCGGTTTTTGGCTGGATCCACGCTCTCCCCTTTGCGTTTTCCCTGGTTTCTCATTGTAGGTCCCTTCTTTTCTAGTCAGGGGTTTGACGAACTTGCCCTAAAAGAAGGCCGGGGTTGTTTGGAGGTTTTGGGGGGTCCTTTTTTCTCCGGCGATAAACACAAGGCAGCACTTGCATCGAGATCTTGGACGGGAAGCTCTTTGCAGCCTGGTTGGACGACAGGCGTCGCTCGATTTCGGTGTAGCGCTCGTTGACGTCTGAGCGTTTCTCAGGGAGAGGTCCAAGATCTCACTGGTCAGTTTCTGTTTAACTACCAACCAAAAGGGGGTCCACCATTTTGAGAAAGCCCTTTGTATATATCAGATTTGTGTGTTTGAGGGTGCCTCTTTAAGGGTTGCATCTTTGCTTTGGGGGTTTCTTGCCCAAGGGGTAGGGATGGCAGCTCAGTGTGACGCGCCTTGTGCCGGAAGTCGATGCCAAACCCCGAATGTCCATCAATATAATCTTACTATTTATCCATCATTATATATGCATACGTCTATCCTAGCTATATATATATATATATATGTGAATATATACATTTATTTATTTATGTATATATATATATGTATACATGCACCTAATCTTCCTATTTGATTGTATCTCTATTTATCGATCGGCGGATCGCGGATCTATCTGTTGATCAAGCATTTGTCAGGTTGCCATCAGGTTACCTTAATTCTTTGTTTGGACTTTTGGTTTGGGGATTTGAATGAAACCCTGGTTCTACTCCAAACCACCAATTACAGGGAAGCTGACTGTACCTAATTAAGCAAATAACAACGACTTCACAGTTTGAGGGGCTGTCATCCGCATGAAGGTTTCTATTATATACACATGTGTATATATATATATGTATATATGCATACATATATTTATACACCCATGTAGATGAACGGTTATAATTTTGTTCCAGGAACTGTTTGGGTTCGGGTTCCTTTGTGCTTCGGGTTCCTCTGAACTCCAATCGCCAGGGCCAACTGCGAAAGGCCTACGCCGCTGTGTCCCCACCTCGCACGGAACCCGGATGCGATCGATTCGGCGAGGGATGTACCTCATTTTGCCGTGCCCGGAATGCCCCCTCAGTTGCTCAGTGGCACCAATTCTTCTTCCCCTTTTTGTTTGGTGGCTGCCCCACAAATGGTCTTCCCCAAAAAGGGTTCCCTTCTTTTCCAGGGTCACTGAACAACTGAGACCCCTACTCCAACTGGGCGTGTGTTGTTTTGAGGGTGCCCTTTTAACAAGGTTTGTTTTTTGGGGAAGAGCTAGCAGGGAAACCGCCATTTTGGAGCCCACATACCAACTTAACAAACACGCGCTTTTGTAAGGGCGTATGTTTCGTTTTGGTTTGTGAGAAAAACACGAATTGGTTGTTCTTGTTATATACCTTTTTTTAGTCAGAGGACTTGCCTATTTCCCCGTAATTTCATTTCCTTGTATTAGGCAACTACTGGCAAGTTTACCTCAACAAGCTTTTGCATCGTTTTTCCTGGTTACCTACCATACTTGTTGCCTGAATCCTTGCGTTGCTCGTTGGTTTTGGCTTGCCATTTCTTTGCTTTCCCTTGTTTGCTCTTGGCTGCTGTCCTTTTCAGGGTCCATTTAGACCAATTCCTTTGAACGCCGTTCTTTGCAGGTTGCAAAAATCGCCAGATGGAAACCAATAGAAGCCTTTTTTGAGGGCCGGGTGCTTGTCGCACGTTTGCACCGGGCCGTGGGGAGCACCACCTCAGTGTCACTCGCCGTCCGTCGCAGTGGCCCGGTTTCTTTTCAAGGACAGACGGAGGTTGGACTGCAGACCAAATCATAATTGGATCTGTTAGGGTCTCTGAGTATGACACAGAATCGGAGCATCTTCTTTGTGACCCCTTGTTTTGGGCCAAGAAAAGACAACCACTTCCCAAACGGTTGCCCCCCAACAGGTCAGAGGGCGCGTCCCGCCCGTCCCATAGGCCGTGACGTTCGAAGAAGGAGAAGCGCCTCCTGCCTACGTGCGCAAGGCGTCATGTTGCTTTTCGCTTTCCAGCCTACCAGCAGCTCCCAGCCATGCGGTTCCTTAGCTGTTTGGTTTTTTGTGTTTAGTGGGGGTGTCCTTGTAACCCACTGAAAGTTAAACTTTGAGCGGAGGATCTGTGGACACCAGGCCGCGGGTTTTCCCGCACATGCCTTTTTTTCTAACCCGAAAATATGTCCAGTTCGCCCGTATAGCTAATAGGTACCAGCCAATTGATTTGCAGTCCTTCAAGGGTGGCAACCCTTGGTGCCTATACGTAAATTAATCTAATGGGCCTACACAAATGGGATCGTATCCCAATTAAATCTCTTTTCAGGTCCCTTTTATCCTGGTCTACCGGATTCTTTCTGCGGGCAGAACCCACAAATCGGTCCGGGCAATTGAGACCCCCGCAAAACAAAAACAAATACCAGCCCGAACCCCCAAACCACCAATCCAAACTAGGGCTTCCCATTTACCGACACACCAAGAACCAGGGGTTCAAGACCCCAGTTCCCACCAAGAGGGAGGCTCAATAGTGTGGAACATTATTCTTGTACCATGTTCTTATACCCGACATATCTGACGATTTATTCAAGCCACATCTTGGGAGGCAAGCTTGGACTACCTCCAAGAGGGAGCTTACATGTTTACGTTCCTAGACATGTTTCAGCCCTACAAACACAGCGCCAAAGCCGGATCGAAACATCGGTGGTGTCGCGAAATAGATTCGGCCTTTCCTGCTGCAGGGGTTTCCGTTTGAAGTCAACAGATCAAGCAGAGTCTCCTTGTGATTCCTTCCAAAGCCCTCAAGATGGTAGCGAACCACAATTCTTACTGGCAAATGATGGACTGTCCTTTGCGGCAGAAGTACTCCAGTGGGTGGTGGTTTTTGGGATCTTTGGAAGCCATAGATCGGATGCGGGCAGGGTCAAACTACATTGACATGGACCAGCCATAGGGTTCCATATTATTGATTTCAATTGGGGGCCTTTTGGTGGATATCAAAGCTCGGTGGGGATTTTATGTCCACGAACCATTGTTAACATCCCGACTGTTCAAATTCATAGCCGTTCGAGGTTTGTCCCGAGTCGGATGAGCTCCAAAGTTCAACCAAAGCCGGGCAAAGCTCGAATGTTCCCATCCGAAACCGCCAAAGGCTCCCGTTTAGTTGAAAGTGCAACTCGTGGATGGAAGGGCAATGTCGGGCCTAAATAACTAGAGTGGGGTGGTTAAGTGCCTAGGCACGATATATCACACAAGAGCAAAAGCCCTTAAAATTTCAGGTCACATACCCAAGATTAAGGGGTGGTTCCCTTTTTGTAAGGGTCAGGCGGACACCGGCATTTATTTCGCCCCTGAACATCATGTTATTTGGATTCCGTGCCTTGAGACGTTTTCCGGACTCGGGTGAGGCGGGAAAGTGGACGCTGGCCCAAGGAGTAGGGCCCAAGGACGATCGAATGCGAGTCGTCTGAGTCGGAACACACCACATCTACCAAGCGTCGCCCTGCAGACTGTACTGCAACCAATTTCGCACTTGCCGCGAGCGCTTTTGCACCATTTTTGCAACGCCCAATGTGCCGCTCTTTGGCAGGGATGCCAACAAGGGCCCGTCAAAAAAGGGGGGCACAAGCACGGCTGGTTTCCCTTGAGGCTTCCCTTTGAACATACATCCTGACACGGACGCAAAATCCCCGGAAGGACAGAGGAAGCACCGGTACTCAGTAATCCCAAGCACCATTTCGGGGTTTGTGGGGGCCAAAAGACGTGGCATGTTGTTTGCCCAGGTTTGCTGATGTGCAAAAGTGTTGTTTGTTCTTGGGTCGGGGGGCGCATGACCTTTTGCGTCAGTTTGGAGGATCTGGAAGTGAAGCTTCCCTTTCAACTGCCTGCTGGTCAGTTCAAGATGCTGCTCCTTGGATGCAGCAGATCCCTCCACCCATCGACTGTGTTTTTTTGGGATCGAGTACTCTGACAGGGGATCGAGCTTGAATCATGGCCAGGTCACACAACATGTTTGCAACTTTGGTGAATACTGAACTAAAGACCAAAATAAGCTTAAGTTGTGTTTGGGAGGAGTTTGTCTCAGTCACGTCAATGCTAGGAAGGTAAACCGGCGAGCTAGGTAGACGGGTCCTGCAGTTTCGACGCAGAATTTCCTGTTTGCCTCCGCCCTCTTCGCGGACTTGGGAGGCGAGGTGACCGGTGGAGTTACATGTTTTCAAAGTTCCTTTTTTTTGTGGGAAGACCGGAACAACGAACTTGACCCCTCCATCCCGTCCGCCTTGAGGTAGGGAAGATTCAGCTATCAACTTCTGCCCCAAGAGTAATTGCATTGCTTTGGCAGGACTGCCACTTGGAATGAAGCGTACGCCCTCCAAGTAATTACCATATTTGGAGTAGGGGGTGCATACATCCATCTAGGTGGGATGGCAGTGGAGAACATCTCAACGCACGGAATTTGTACTGTTCCAAGGGTCTTGGGGGTTGGTATGGAAGAAGGGTTGCTTTTCCGTACCACACCCAAAGTACTTTCGCGTCCTTCCCAACCAGGGTTCCGTTTTTTGACTACCCCAAGGTAGACTTAAACCCAGGGGTTTGCCTTTTGGGGAAATCAACCACCCCTGGGAAGTCCACTTTGGGGTTGTCAAAAGATAGAACCCTGCTCCCAAGGTGTTTCGATCCTCAGGGTGCAGGACATCTCTTTCGATGGCTCCTTTGGCTACTTGCGCATGTGGGTTCAGTCTTTTTGAAGGTGCCTCGTTTTGGCTTTGTATATGTGGTAGTCCCTTGTTTCGAGACAAATCCAATTGAACATGTGGGTGTGTCTTTTTTTTTGTGGGCACCCCTTTTCGCGCGGCTTTAAAGGGACACCATACGGCAAACAAACCGTTTTGGGGATCCCCAAATTTAAGTTCACTTGTCCAAAGCCGACTTTTCAACCTTTGAGTTCCCTGATTTGGTCCATTTGCCATGGCCTCTAAAAGGTGATCACCTTTTCTTTTCGGGTCCGAACTGGGCAAGAGGCACACCAGGTTCCATTGATCCAGACTTGGCACATTCTACATTCCATTGATCCAGACTTTTTGAGTTAAGACACGGCCATGGGCTTGGATTTGAGGTTGCCCCCACTGACGGCAGCGCTGAGACCGCCCTGCTGGCAGCCTGCCAAAGGCCGACTGGACTGCTGCTGTTTGCTGGTTCTGGGGACCACCCCACTGTGGATGCACGTAACATTCTCCAGTTGGGATGGATAAAACCCTATGAATACTGTAAACCACTTTCCAACCGGTGAAGGAACTTGAGAAGCTGTTCACAGTATGGCTCCCCTATGGCTTTAAATGGGTGTGTCAGTGTTTTGGTTGGGGGAACTCCTTGATTTAGTTTTCAAGGGCAGCCACACGGAGGCCATCCCTTTGGGGTCCAAAACTAATTTTGGTGGACGCCTTCATTTGTTTGGTGGGTCTTCAATGCATCGTCCCATTGTACATTCTCGATGGCCGACATGGCCGACTTAGCCAAAACCAATCTTTCAAGCCTTTGAACAGTCGGTTGCTTTCGTTCAGCCTTGGCTAGATCCAAAAGAACTGGTTAAACTTTACAACTTCAGCCCAGCGATTCCATTTACCTGTATAGGTACCGATGGGAACCACCCGATATAAACACAAAATTAACATGGCAGGCTACCTACTGGGAACTGGGATGCACTGATTATGGTGTCACTTCGGATTTGGACTACGGATCTGGAGATCCCCCCCTTTTTGAACAAGACCGAATACTTTCTCTGACTGAACCGTTCGGGATCCCCTGAAGTGAAACCAGGGCCTCTGCTGGAGGTTCCCTTTTGGGAACCACCTCAAAGGACCAAAACCAAAGTAGACATGTCCCCGCCAAAGCTGGCTTTGGGTGGACATGAATCCCCAATTTTTGGTTCGGACCCATGAAAATTCACACCCAAATCCAGGTGTGCCAAGGGTAGAGTCCGGCTCAAAGTGGCCCTTCAGGTGCCAATGTTCGAAGTCTATGGGGGAACCCGGAAGCCACAACGACCTGACCGACCTTGCGACTGTACCTATATGATTGTTTCTTTTCCGTGGGGTTCTTGATTGTAGGTCTTAAGACGTGGTTCTCCTCCAAATCGGAAATATCGCCTTGCCATGGGCGTTGATATTCCATTTGCTTTCCTTCAAATCAGCATAACACGAGTGCACTCTCAAAGAACAACAGCCAAATAATTCAAGCAAGAAAAAGACCCGGAATATACCATGCGCTCTTTGGCTTCGTCTTGTGCGTGGAGGACTATGCGCCTGTTGCTGACGCCGATTCGCAAGTGCTGGCAAGCCTGGAGGCAGAGCACGAGCCTGGAGCAGACGTGGAAGTCCAGAGTGAAGTGGTCAGGGAAGCTGGGGCTGACGCGGATGAATTAGTGACGCCTGCAGACAACCAGCTTATGGAGGCGTCTCCCCATCGCAATGAAGGCCACTTGACCATGTCGCAAGCGCTGAGATCTGCAGGCCTTGACAAGTACCAGCCCTCCGAAGAGGAATGTGAGCTCAGGCGCTAAGGGAATCACGCATAAACCAATCAATGCATATCAAGCATGATGGCTTCACTGGCGTGAGATTTGAAGGGCCTGGGCGAACCCATGTCAACACGGTGATTGTCGTCAGGTCGCTTTAAGCACTGTTCTTTCGATCAGTGCTCAGTTGTTTCGATTTCGCCGAGAATTGAATTGATGTCCCTGGTCAAAAGGGATCCGTTGGGACCCACCAACGTTGACCCAAAAAAGTATATCGAATCTACACTAAAAGCAGGGACACTAGGGACCCTTTATGAAAGTGAAGGACACACAACTTGCATTTGTTGTGGCGTTTTGCTTTTCTAATTCGCCACCACAAAAAGAACACAGGGTGAACGCCACCGATGGGGGGCTTATAGTGGGCTACAACTCATCTGGGTTGCAAACCACTCAAGCCTTAGCCGATATTCATGGCCCACATCAAAAGTTGGGATGGCAGAACAGGTTTCTCAGCGCTCCAGTGCTCTTTTTTCCCCAAGGCCACGGTTTTTTTTGTGTTTCTTTCTGTTTTGATTCTTTTTCTTTTTCCCGTTTTTTACATCAACCCACAAAAAGGAGTTCCCATTCTTTGTCCATGATCACTGAAAATTTGCGCTTTCCAGTTTTTTGTTCTGTTGGGGAGGAGGTGGGCCCAAGTACGACATACCAGTACTTTTTGCAGGTCAGCATAAATCCAAAACTCGGAGCAGGAATCTGAAGAAAGCATCCTGGACTGGTCGGGGACCTTTGCGGGTGCTTGAACATACCCTCCCCACACTGACATGAAAGTGCACAGGCTCCACTTGCTCAAAACAAAGTGAAGTTCCTAAAGGGGCGTCCTCACGTGCGCCATGTCCTCAAGTGGGGTCCTTCCTTTCTTCCAAGTTGCTTTTTGGTACAGCCAGTTCCCAAGTTCACAAACCAAACCAAAACACAACGATGTCCCTGTTTTCTCTTTGGAGGAGGTTGCCTTTAAAACCAACTACCAACTCAAACCGCCTTGTTTAAATTGTCCCAGGGTCGAAGTCCGGAGTCTTGAGCTTCGGGACAAGAATTCCAGGCGGAAAGACGGAGCCCGAGCCGCCAGAGGTCTGGCAGGACGCAAAGGGTTTGAACGGTGCAACCAGCGGGGGCCTGGACGCTCTTGTGCTTTTCAATGGGAGAATGCAACTTAATTGTTCAGAGATTTCTCTTTTGCTGAGGCTAGTTGAAGGGTCCAGGTATGACTTTCAATTTGACCCCAAAGGGTGCCCAATTCAAAACACACCGAAATAGCAACCACAATGCGTTCATGGGTTACGATAGCAACCACTTTGTCAGATAGACATTGATAGATAGATAGATAGAGAGACAATAAAGACAGAGACTGAGAGTGAAATAGATAGGAAGAAAGAAAGAGGCTCTTACCGCCAATTTTGCACCCCTCCCCCTCCACTTCCACCGAAGTGGGGTGGTTTTCGTGAGGAGAGGCAAGCTCTGCTCGAGCGCTTCTTGGCTCTGGTGGGCCTTGAGGTTGCTGTGTCGACTTCGAAGGCGGGGGAGTTGGGAGTGGCGGGTGGTATCTTTTTCACGGTACCTGGACCCTCAAACTACCCTCCTAAAAGGCTAAATCACCCCAACATTTTGGAGAAAGGCGAAAGGTTCCTTTTGATTCTGGGTTGAAACTCAAGCCACGAGTTTTGGTCGGTATGTTGTTTTGTGTGTATGTGTAAGGGTTGTCCTTTTTGGCTTGGCTTAACGGGAAACCAAGACGAAGCCACCATTCTTGGGGTCGGGGGACGATAAATTTTATATCGGTGTCTGGTCTTTCGGGCTTATCTCACATCAATAAAATATTTTGACTAAAATGATGGTAGAACATAAATTTAGATCCTAGGGTTCAACATGGAGCAAGTTCTGCTGATACGGATTCCCCACCATGGATACTTTGCAAGTTTCCCTTGCTCTGTGCTTGCAATATTTAGGACATCCTCCGAATTGTCGGTTACTCATCCCCTGCTTGTCGATCCCCGACTAAAAACGGGGGTGTTTGCCAGGAAAGTCCTTTTTTGTTTGTCCAAACATACACACTCAAACATGTGGGTCTTAGAAGGTTGGGTACCCTTAAACATGGGAAATCGCCCAAAGCATCTGGGGCAACGACGTGGCCGCTTGGATGTTCGGGCAGGTAGCCACCTAGTAGGTTACCGATCAACGGGGTTAAATCCACTTTGGTGAACTTGTGGACTATCCAAGGTTACCAACAACTTACTCCGGGGGTTTCTCTTGCGAGGCAACGGCGCGGCTGCGGGCCCCCCCGATCGGCCAGGCGACGAGCGTTCTTTTTCTTTTGTTTGCACGTGCCGTTTTTCTCTCTTTTTCTCCTTTAGTCCCGTGTACCTCAAGCATCAAACTAACCTGAAAACAGGGAAATCTCTTCTCAATTCTAGCATCCTAGTTTCCAGAAGGGTGAAGGCTTTTGCCAGGGTGACCGCCTTCAAAGTGACAGAGTAGTGGGGATGGGAATCCTTTGTTGGTGTCGCACAAATTGTCATTCAACCATGAGGCGTTTCTCAACGCTGAGGGGCCTGGGTGGCAGGAGAGCAAATGTTTAGACCCTGACCTCCACAGTGCGTGGCTCTCTTGTTCCTTGTGTTTGAGGTTCTCCCCTTCAAATCAACCACATGCAGTCTCTATGACCCTTCAAGAATGGGGTCATGACCCCTCAATTTGTTGTGACCTCATGTTTTATGAATCATGGAGACTGGCACCAAAAACGAGTGCCCCTTTTCTCGTTCCCCCTTACGGATCCCCTGTTTGAGGCTGGCTTTTTCGTGTTCAAAACTGCAGAAACAAGTACCCCGAAAAACAGGGGACGCACCCATCTCGACCTCTCTCGCCATTTGGAGTTCGACGAAGCCGCATTTTGGATTCGACGAGGTGCTGCCCTCTATGGCTACGATGAGGTCAGCCGCAGAGGCGGAGGCGAGAAGAGCCTTCTGCTGAAACCAGACCTTGGAATGCAGGCGGCAACAGCATCATCCAGCAATGGAGCAACGCCCGCAAAGGCCCAAAACCGAAACTTGACAGACTTGCGGTTCAGCTCGCCCTGCAGCATTGCATGTGGATGATTGATCTCTTCTCGAAGCTGCCAGCATCTAAAGTGTTGCCGCAGATTCCTCCAAGCATAGCTGACTTAACCTTCAAGCTTTTGAGCTGGTTTTGATCTTCATTCAGCTTTGGCTGGATCCAACATTTTGTTTTTTTACAACTCCGGCCAAGCGATTCCATTTCGCTGTATAGTAGGTACTAGTACCAAGGGAACCACCCTTGGACAACCAAATGGAAAATGGCTTGTTATCTGCCATACCGGTAAACGGGATACACTGGGCAGGATTTGAACCACCCGCATCGTCCTGGGTCTTAATACTTTCCGCACCCGGGTTCCCCATACCCCAACAGGCTTTTGGGTCCGGCTTTTGGATCCTTACAGCAAAGCATCTTGAGGGCCCAACATTTACCTAGACCCTTCAAGCAATGGGATACTAGCCTCATGTGCCGCTTTCTTAGCTGGGACCCCCTTGGCGTCCAGCAATCACTTTTGAGATGGTTCTCCTTTTGAACTTCATACTCAATTCCCCTCCCATCCACATGGAATCTGACTGAGGGGTCCTGAGAGACTCCTTTCCTGAAGGCACCCCCCATTTGGTGGGGTCCATCTTATTGGACAGCATGGCAAAACATCAAACTCTAGCCCCAGGATTGAACCAGTAGGATGGCGGCAGCTGTCACTTTGCCAGGCAGCCAAGCGATACAAGAAGGCCCCAGGCCCGGTGTCTCGAGCTGCTGCTGACTCACGACTCTTTTTGCAAAGGCGGCTCCCTGTTTGCGTGTGTTTGTTATGTGCGTTTTCAACCTGTGTTTTTGGTTGTTGTGTGTGTTTGGGGCATTTAAACACAGGTGCTGTTTTGGTTCTCCTCGCTTTCCATTCGGAGATGATGCTCTTTTTCCCTTTTTGGCGGGTGGGGAGCCCTTGAACCTCAGCCGTATTGGGACCCAACAGGCCACAGACCCAATGGAGTCCCCGATGAGGGAGACCCTGGATGTTTCGGGCTTCACTACATAAGAATAAGACAGACATGGGGGTTGATCAGTATTCCCTTCGGTCCCCAACTGACCATGGGTAACCTTTCCCATGTGGGAAATATCATTTGAGTGGCTTCCAACCAATGGTCATCCCATGTATGCACCTTTTGATCAACCCCCACATGGTGCACCCTGTGCCAAGCTACACCCAGTTGGGACGTTGCTTATGAAACTTGTTTACACTCACGATACACAAGACTTGGGTTGCTGAAACCTGTCCTAGATTTGGATGCCCGACAAAGGCCCTTTTAGCCAGGCGTCCCTTGAAGCAAAGTTTGGGGGTCTAGGCATGAGCAACATGAGTTATTTTATTTAAAAAGAATCTGGCCACAGGGGCCAGGAGATGCTAGCCAGTGATGGCCCGGGTGCACCTCCAAAATCTTTCCTTTGACGAGCGTCCTTTTCACCGAATGGCTTTCCAAAATCGCCAAAATGCTTGGAGAATCCACGTAGCCCGGGGATAGCAATCCGACTGGGTTCCAAGACGGATTCCAAGCCATCGCAGCTCGATTGTTTGAAGGCAAAATTCTGAAGGGAAGCCACGGATTTTGTTGGGTTCCCCTATTTTGAGACATACCCCTTCCTCATTTTCTTCAGGGATCATTCTTCAGGCATCATTCTTCAAAATATGTGACAGTCCTTTGGGAAGATGAGCGGTGTCTAAAGAGAACGAAATGTGAAGCGAATGGATAAGCGAATGGGAAATCAACCCTGAGAACAGTAACCAACTGTCCTCCATCCATCTTCCAATTGATTTTCAAAGGGTGCTCGTATTCCCGTGCTGCGTGCTGCAGCGGCAAATGGAAGTAGCTAATTACCCTATGATTATTATTTTTCCGGTGGGGGGGTTCCCCAATTTGACACCCCCCCATCTCCGTGCAGCGCTCTCAGCTCAAGCGATCGCGGTGAGTGAGAGACCGACTGAAACCCTGTGGGAAGCGATGGCTTGCATGCAGGGCATGCACTCGGCACCGTGGGACGCCATGCACATGCCAGCGCACCCTGCGCCGGTTGCACCGGCAGGAGAGATCGAGAGACGAGCTTGTCACCCGACGAAACACCTGGAGTCTCCTGAGCCTGACGATTGGGTATGCGAGCTTTTCCCAAAATGGGCTCCCCCAAAATTGCTAGCAACCTATCCATGTGAGCACGTTTGGTGAAGTTCATGGGACATGTGACATGTGTTTGGAGCCCTGTGACTGGTGGGCTCCCTTCGTGCAAAACCGAAGTTTCCAACTGAGAAGTGGCCGGTTGCCACGTTTAGGGTCCAAGCTGGGATCAAGCTGTGATTTGCCCACATTTGGGCTTTCTTCTTGGTTGTTCAGCGGCGAGAAGGTACCCATTT